TTATCAGAGGTGAAAATGGGGCACTTCTTACACCTAAAGAAAAGAGGCACGCACCATGCAGGGATGAAACGGTATTTTATGAGAATGGGAAATGGGCATTTGTCGACGGAAAAGAGGCACCCATCAGATTTCGATACGGGCATTTATAAGAGGTGAAAGGGAATAGGTCCCTTATTAGAAAGGAAAAGGGGCACGTATCATTATTAAAAGGGAATTATCAGAGTTGAAAAGGGGCACTGATCAGATAATGAAAAAGGGGCACTTATAATAAAGGAAAATGTGCATTTGTTGAATGAAAAGGGGCACCGTTCAGATTTTTAAAAGGGGCAGTTATGAGAAGGGGAAGGAGCTCTTTCTTTTTAACGGGGGCACTTATCATAAGGAAAGGGGCACTTATTAGAAAGGGAAAGGGGTAGTTATGAGAAGGGAAAGGAGCTCTCTCTCTCTCTTTAATGGGGGCACTTATCAGAGGGAAAAGGGGCACTTATTAGAAAATAAGAGGGGCACATGTTAAAATGAAAGGTGTGCTCATCCGAGTTTAAAAAAGGGGTAGTTATTAAAAGGAGAATGGGCACTTCTTACAAAGGAAAAAAGGGGGAGTTGTCAAAGTAAAAGGAGCACCTCTCAGTTTTGAATAGGGCAATTATCAGAGGTGAAGGGGGCACTTATTAAAAGTGAAAAGGGGCGCTTCTCGTACCTGAAAAGAGGCACTTACTAGAGATTAAAAAGGGCACTTATTCAAGATAATTTCAAGATTCATGAGAATGGAAAATGGACACTTATTGCAAAGGAAAATGGGAACATGTCGAAGGAAAAGGGGCACGTGTCAAAAATAAAAAGGGCACTCGTCAGAGGTGAAAAGGGGGAAGGGGCACTTTTACTCAGTAATAGGGGCACTTCTTACAAAATAAAAGGGGCACCTTTCCTATGTAAAAGGGGCACTTTTGGGGTATCTGAAAAAGTGGGGGGCACTGTGCCCCCCTGCCCCCCGGGAGGACCGCCTCTGTGTATATGCAGTCAAATATTTCAACATTATACCCTTCACCTATATCTTGCCATTATGTTTTTTATGCATGCCATACACTCCATTGCTACTATGTTGCAGTCAGCTTCTTTTCCTCTCTTCTTTTCTCTTTCCCCAAGCTCTCTATCCTCCTCTCCTTCTTGCCTGTCCCTTTCCTCCTTTCTTCTATTTATAATGTATATTATGTATTTGTGTATTCGGGCGTACCCTTTACAAGCTTTGCTTATCGGGTTTCGCGCCTTCTTCCTTGTAATACAAGATCTTTAATTAGGTGATACGTACGTAGACGTATCACCTTTTGATTTCGTCAAGATTTTCTTTATTATTTTTATTATTCTGCCATGAATTTGTTCGCAGGATATCTCAAGAATGAAAAAAGCCATAATCATGAATCTTTCAATGATGATATATCTTAGTCTAACTTAGAACTGTGTGACTTTTCAAAGACTCAAAGTCATCGTGACGTCATCCAGGCGCCATTTTGTGAAAATCAACTCATGATCATATCTTCATAACAGAAAGCCATTTCTCATTCATATTTATCACGATCAAGGTCAATATCTGTCCCGTCAATTTCAGGTCAATAAATGCGTTCAAAAATGCGCGTACGCGTACGTGCGCGCGTTAATGCGCGCGTAAAATTTTATATTGCTCAAAATCGTCTTAAATTTTTTTTGCATACGTTTCAGGCCATTATAAGCATTCATAAAAAATCGCGCAAAACACGCATTTTTGCGCGTTTTCGTTCGTCACGGCCGAACGAAAAATAATTCCTTCGCAAAAACTTTTGACAGGATATTCCTCATAATTTTCCGAACAATTTGATACCAAGTTTATCTCTTTATCACTATTAATAACGCAATGAGCGTCCGTTCAAGATAACGGTCCGCACTCGCGATTTTTGTAATACATAGCATATACGGGCAAAAACATGCCTATAAAAAGTCCATTGGGATGAATAAGGATTGCCAATTTTTTTTTCATATTTAGATAGAGTATGAGTCGAAGGTATGATTTCATATCTCATTTGGCCATTAAGTACATCTTGACGTCATCATAATGGCCTTGGAAGTCAAAAATACAAAAATGCATATTATGACGTCATTATGTTTATGGGAAATTTAGTGTATTTCTCTTAATATTCATCGATTCTCTTCTAGATTTTAATATGTTGTAGTCGAGGCAATCGTCTTTGAGATCAGTTTACACCAATTTTCATTTAATTGATGTCATCATAGTACAAAATTCAATTAAAGGCCACATGTCAGAATTTTCTTAATTTGCGTGTTATGTTTATGGAAGGTGAATTTTGTTCACATCATGAATATTCATGACATTGATCTTTGAGCACTATCTAGCTTATGAGTACTCTATGTTCTCCCAAATTTTGATACGGTGTAGCTAATAAATTATCTTCAATATTGACGTACATCATTTATCATTTTGATGACATCATCTTAGTGAAAATTTCAATTAAAGGCGACATGTCAGAATTTTCTTAGTTAGCGTGTTAGGCGACTTTTTCTGAAATCCTGATTCTACAAATCTCTATCGAATACCTGAAGTGGGCGCTATACCACTCTTAATCATGGTCTTTATCGTATTTATGATCATTATCATTAGATCATCATCGGCACAATTTCATGATAACAAAATAGCACGTATCACCTAATTCGTCAAAGTGACGAATTAAAGTCTAGTTATATTTATGTTCCTACGTATGAATTGTATTGTTAGAACAGATGTCAAATATGTTGTTTAATTGAATGGAAGAAAATAAATGTTCATTTGAATTGAAAAAATTGTATTGAATTAGTCAATCATTTCAAGGATCTCCAAATATTTCCCTCCCATAGAGATTGTACGTGGGAGGGAACTATTTGGTACTCTATGATTTAATCTTGACTGCATTCGCGTACGACTCTTTGCCCCCCACAAGTTTTCTATCTTTATAACCTACTCTCTCTCTCATTCTCTCTCTCTCTCTCTCTTCCTCTCTCTCTTTCTGATATATCTTCCTTAAACCGGTTTCAGAAAGTCATTACGTTTTACCTGAATATCCTCAACAATTTACGCTTCATCCTAGTGAAACCTTTTTTTTAAATAGAGTTTAAGTTTTATTCCATTAATGTACACATTGGATATTTAGATATCTTATAACCTGTGTCGATATTAAACCTGCCCAAATAGATTATTCACACGTCAACTCCTACTTTTCATAACATTTCATCTGCAGACATAGAATAAAGTGGAACACCAGAATAGGATCATAAGGGTCAGATACAGGATAAAATCAGATTGTTTTCATTGTTATCAGCATTTTCATTCTTTCGTTCAAAAGAATTTCATTTTACCAAAATACAGTTAAAGCGAGAAAGCAGAAAAACATATATACATATATATATACAATTAAACAAACACTAGATTGATTCATTAGATGTAATTATATAATACGAAATGCATAGACTGTTTCACTTTGTAAAGATAAGTTCTCAGTCAAATATATACATTCAATCATATTATGAGCATAATATTATACATTACAGATAATAATAACACGCATTCAAAGTTCTACACATTCATTATCTTTTACAGTCCGAAACATGTAGATTCCAGTAAGTTATGTCGAAAGTTTCGATATATCCTTAACAAGAAACTAGTTAGAAAAACAAGGTGGCAAATGGTTTACATACAAACTCTCACTTCTTTGTCATGGGGATGTCCTTTTCATAACAATGTGATACTTTCAGATCCTTCAGCAATGAATTGCATCAATTTGTAATTATGTATACATGTGTTTCAAATGAATGAAAAACACTTAATTTTATAGGCTGTACCAAAAAGATTGGAAGGGCGATTTACCCATACTCATTTTAACGAATTCAGGTTACAATTTTTGCTTAGGATATTTATTTAATTAGATGGAAGGTGTCATTATAACTTTATTTTAGGCTATAGATAACGAGAGTCGACCAGCACATGTGCTATTTTTGACTCTATTTTACCATCGATCACAAACTCATTGTAAATAGTCATTTATTGTTTTACTCTTGAAGCAAAGTTTACTTTATCTTTGTCATAATGTACATGTATATCGCTGTAGAACATGTATTTTTTATAATTCATGTCATGCATTTATGTTATATTGACATTGTCATTGTACATTTATCTTTTGTTTCAATGTTTTCAATGGTGGTGAATAAATAAATTCAATTAAAAATAAATTCAATTCAATTATGAGGTTATATGCAATTACATTTTTCCCATTTTTGTGTTTCACAATTGCAAAAACTGTTTAGAAATTCATTTTCGGTCAATTTTAATATACAAAATAGCCACGTGCCGTCTCTATAATCTTCACTGTAGAGTACGTACACAGTATGGGCGTTGGCTAAAATACATGCGCTACTGGGCCATGAAAGCCTTTAATATTATTGCACTATTGTCAATATAAAAAATGAAATAATCATCTTTAAACTTTTTTGATAAACCGTTGAGTGATTATTTTCATATACGGTATCTGAATTACAGGTTTTTGCCATTCCGTTACCGCGCTTTGTAATCTTTATAACTTGTAAAATATGCCAGCTTTGAATGAATTAAATATTTCCCCGACCCTTAGTACATGGTTATCCAATCGTAATCAATCCCATTGGTTGAGTAATCTTAGATTGCTGATAGCATAATCAAATTAAAAAAAATAATAAACCTTTTTGTTGTATATTTTAAGTAAGGAAGAATTTGCAAATTTTGTAGATTTCAGATGTGCGAAGAAAAAACTTTATTAGGCCCAAGGTCGACTTCGTTAAAGTGAATCACGATAGGCCTATTCGTCATGGTTTCATCGCGCTTTCACCCCCCCCCCCCCCCCCCGCCAAAAGAGGGTTATTGGGCTGAGACCTAGAAATAACGAAAATAGGAAGAGGACATAAGAGATAGAGAGAATAAAGCAGGAGAAAGATAGACTAAGCAACTCTCATTCTGCAGGTATGAGATGGTTACGTTTACGGTTTACAGACAGACATTTCTCCAAACGTTTCCAAAAGTATTTCTGTCCCTCATCATCATCTTCCACCCATTCTACATATGGCCCTTGGCCTCCCATGTACAATCTGACATTTAATGGCATCTCATCTTCTTCAATGTTCTCCAGGAAGACCACTATGATGTTCTCTGTCTGAGTATCGGCTACTTGATCCATTGCCATACGGAAACATGTCAGAAACCAGTCATCAGCGCAGGCAGCTTTATTTACTAATACAAGAATCTTAAAGCTTCTTGTTAAGACGTGATCTACGGCTTCCGTGCGATGCATGCCAAGGGGAAGATCATCTTCCGTGAAGACGTTTCTGCTTCGCTTGTAGTACGGCAAGAATCTCTGAAAAGATGGTTTCAGTTGGTCGTGAATCCAATTCTCATCATCATCTGTCGATATGACGTAGACGTCAAAATCGTAATCCTCGCGATCGTTTTTGTCCAGGATTTCTCTGTAGCCCAAAATGGCGAGTCGGAGAAGGAAGTGTTTGTACCTCAGTTGCCATCTGAAGTGGTACACGAAGATGATGAAGATAACGAAAATGACAGCGAAGAAGACTGCTGAAAAGTATACAGGGAAATTCGCCGTGCAGAGATCGTTTGGTTGGATGGATTCCAGTGCCTCTCCTCCAAAAGGTTTCATTGATAAAAATGAGCACGTTGTGTCTTTACCATTCTGGACATCTATGGCTCCACGCAGCAACTTGATTAACCATTTCGATTTGCAGGAGCATTCGATGGGATTTTGTGACAGATCGATTGAAGAAAGTGTGGTTGAAATTTGGGAAAATGTTGTCTGATTGAAAGTGCTAAGTTGATTTCTTGCAAGATCTATCGACGTTATCATCTGCATTTTAGCAAATAAAGCCTCGTCGATATAAACTAATACGTTATTTCCAATTGAGAAGATACTCAAATGAATCAGGTTGTCGAAGATATGCAAGGGAAGTATTTGTAAATCATTATTTTGCAGAGATAGAATGGTCAGTGAGGTCATCGAAGCAAAGGCGCCAGATTCGATCGTGGAAATTTGGCAGTCACTCATATTGAGAACTTGTAACGCCGAAAGGTTGTTAAAAACCCCAGACGGTAAACTGCCGATATTGTTTTGTTTAAGTCCGAGATACCTTAAATTGTCAAGTCCTTGAAACAGAGATATATTTTCAGATGAATCCCACAGTTCACTCAATTTCACACGCGAGTTATTTAATTCGATGCTGTTAAGATAGGGCGTGGACTGAAATGTTTTACCTGGAATTAAGGCAGATTGTTTTTGCAACCTGTCGTAGGGTCTGAAGGTGAAAACGAATGTTTCGAGAAGTGGAGCATATATTAAGGTCATATCTACAATTCTGGTACGGGAAACATTAAACGTTCGTAAGTTGTCAAGTCCTGATAGAGATGTAGTTGCCATAGTCGTTAACATAGCGTTGTCAGCCAGGTCCAATGATGTCAGATTTGTCAGACCTTTAAAGGCAAATGGACCCAAATTCCTAAGATTGTTCTCTGACAAATTCAGTTCCCGAAGATCAATCTTCCAAGATGACCCTGAAAGATTTACTCGCTCTATCTGTGTGCGCCTAAATGTAAGGATTCGAAGTTCCTTCATGCCATCAAAGAAAGCAGGCTCCAGAACTCCTATATGAAAGGTCCACAGTGCCATATTATAAACGGATGTTAGATTAGCAAAGATGGATGGGTAACACTGGAACGGGTAAGCCTTTTGTTGCAGTAGTAGGTAGGAAAGCCTTTTACCACGCAATGGGTCAAAGAAGTCACGAGAGACATCGTTGAATGCCATAAGCAGATACATTCCAACTATCTCAGATTGAGCGATACCCGTAAACAAATCCTTCCATACTTCTGGGTTCAGTGTTGTAAACTCAAGTACCAGAACAAAAATGGGAAACTCAGCAACAACATCGGCATCAATTTTCCTGTAATTATTCCCACCTAGATAGAGCTGCCCTGTCCTGCAAGGGAAATTTAGAACATCAGCTGATATTTCTTGAAATGCGTTACCACTGAAAACTACCTGATTTAGTGTTCTTTTGGGGCACTTCGAAATATTGATATACGTTAGTTCATTCCCCCTTAAATCAAGGCTCTGTAGCTGAGGTAAGAATCCGAGGGTCTCATTCGGGAAGTATGATAAATTGCAATATTTGAGGGACAGACTCGACAACCGTTTGGACTCCTGAAAGATATCACTTCCGGGTAGGGTGAAAATGGGGTTATGGTTTAGGGTCAAGCTGGTCAGTTGGTCTACAGGAAAGAAAGTCGCTAAATCGATAAAGCCGATGAGATTGTTAGACAGGTCTAACTTCTCCAAGAGAGAGTACCTGAGGAAAGACGTATTCCAGAGGCTTCGGATGAAGTTTGACGACAGATCAAGCGAACGGAGATCATTGATGAGGTTATTGGGTACGTCTTTCAGCTGCCTATATGAGCATTCGGCCATTTTACTCAGAAAATACACAGAACATGAATATCTCTTGAGAGTACCGTTAACGTGACCTGCTATGGTTGTAAGTCCGTGTTCATCATGTGGGCGGATCTCCTGGCGCGGGGACACCATGATGAGTGAACATAACAGGAGGATGGATAATTGGAAAATTGTTTCCCACGTCATGATGTATTACTCTCCTCAACAAAATTGGTTTGGGCTATAGTGATAGTATGTGCCTTGTGCCTTCTTCTTTAGCGATTATCAAGAACGTCCGTCAAAGGTACTTGTATAATAATCCTTCAGTAACATACGAGGACATCAGGTCCCAAGGTTTTCCCGCGTGCAGACACTCACAAGATATGCTGAGATAATGATTGTGCCAACGATTAATATTGCTTGGATGGAGCCCGATGCCAATATCACAATATCATAAAGCACGACAAAGCACGAGTAAACCCGGAAATATGAGTTAACATATAGGTCGTATTATGAACCTGTTGTTCTTGGAAAACCGTAGCTGGAAGCCTGATGTGAAGAGAAAGAGATGGAAGGAGAGTGTGTATATGATAGAGAGAGACAGACAGAGTGGGAGAGAGTGAGATAGAGAATGTGGGAGACGAGTGGCGTGTCCAAGTTGATAACAGGGGCAGAGTTCTCAAGCGGGGGCGTGCTGTAGACCCAGTGTAAAGGGTATTCTCCTTGGTCATGGTCGTTCAAACGGGCAGGCGGGGGGGGGGGGGGGGGGGGGGGTGGGGTGTACGTCTGCTTCACCTCATGCTGGGTTATGCAACTTAGAACAAAAATACTCCAACCAAAACAATATACCTTGACACTTCACGATAGGCTTTATCAATGAAGGGGGGGGGATTACATGTTATTCCTTTTGTTTGGAATCCAAGTCATTTATGATACTAGGAAACCTTTAACTGGGATATATACAAGGAAGCCCTTCGGGATCAATATTCAGGAGACAAAAAACATATTAACACTTGTCAACATGAATGATCGTGTTTTCGAAATGACTGAAAATAAAGCTTCAAAAATTACATGGTAAATTTATGCACATGTATTATGAATATCCTTTTAGGGAAACCTATATAGAAAATAAATCAAGACTGTTATGTAATTGAACCCCAACAATAAATGAAGGAACTTTCTGCGCTAACCATGGCTTCACAAATGTAGTTTATAAAAATGGACATTTGTATAGACCAGTGTAAATGTTATCCGCTTTGTTCTAAACACAAGTCTGAATGTAGACTCTTTGGCCCGAATTCACAAAGGAGGTTTGTCGACAAACTTTGGTTTTCGTACGTCATAATTATGACGCGTTTTACGCGTTTTTTACAAACCTGGTTTGTAAAGAACAAAAGGAGGTTTGGCGAAACAAAAGGAGGTTTGCATGAGCTCAAACCTTGCTTTGTGAATTCGGGCCTTTAAGCATCGTCTGATCATGGATTAAATATTCGAAATTGATGGACACGCGTCGTGACAATATTGACCACTGCTGCTCAAAATGTTATGACATGGACCGATAAAACTATAATACCAGCAACAGCAAATATATTCTAAACCTGGGGGGGGGGGGGTACTCACATTGAGATTGGATGTGAGTGTGCGGCTGAAGCCTCCAAACTAATTTGTAGGGAGGATGGATTGTGTTCTGATAATGTTGAGGTCGGCATTCATGAATGCTATAACTGTGTAGCCTATTCCCCTATTCTTTGGAGGATGAAACGTGTTTGGAAATGCTTTAGATGTGGTCGTTCATGAAGTCCTATGGTGTTTTCACATTTTGCTTAGAAGATGAATTGTGTTTTCATCGACTGATGTCGAGATTGTCATTCTGTTTGAGTTTCATACAGACTATGGCAACTTTGTTTTCCACTCCAATCCTTCATACGTACAGAGGAAAGAAATTCTCTGCATAACGATACAACTTACTCTCTACACATCGATGACAAAAGCAATAATAATGTTAATCAAAGCCCATTTTCAGAATTCTAATCAAAAGAAGAAAACAACATTGCATTGTTGAATGACTATCAATCTATATTCCACACGAATGGAAAATTCACTGTTGACATTTGAGGAGAGACAAGGAAATTGAAATTTTAGAAATTACCTGATAATAATACTTTTTTTATACTATTGGCTTTGATGTAGCCAGAGGCGTAATGAGCAAAAACTATTTTGGGGGCAGGTGGCATAATGGGCAATTGTTTTTCAAGAGGGGGAATGCGGATATTGACGATAACGGTGAGAAAAAAATTCGGAAAATCATGTAATTTTAGCAACGTTTGTAAATCACTGGTATCGAATTAGAAGGAAGAAAAAAAACGTTTGAATGTTATTGGGGGGAACTCCACCCCCCCCCCCCCCCAGCAGTACACCAGTGGGTGTAGCCTTTCAACTATATTTTTCAGTGGATGAAACGGACGTCCTCTTCCAACCTGGCTGAAACAAATCTTTACTTTCTTCTAATATTCATATCCTCCACAATTCTAAAACTTGGGGGATTAAGGTATTATAATAATAATAATAAGCCTATTGATAATTGGATTTCATTTACCCAGAGTAGCCACATCAGTAGAATGCTGTTATTCCTGCATTACCTCAGCAATTGCCAGTTACCAATTTACACCTGGGTGGAGAGTGGCAAACCTGGATTAACATCTTGTCAAAGGGCTGTTAGTGCCAGTCATTGATTCGAACCCTAAACCCTTGGATCGAGAGTCAAGTGAAGTGAATATATTACTTTACCATGATACCCCCGAGCTGTCCATCAAACAAAATAGACTGATACTGACTCTGGTATAGATTAATACTTCTACGCCTCACTTCAGTAAGAGACCCTCTAGAACTCCTAATAACTCATAAAGCCTTTTGATTCTCACTTTAAAGACACATGTTATTATGGATTCTGCTCACAACCTTCTCAATCTTGATCACTCATTCCTTCCCACTTCTTTCCTCTTTCCACTTCAGCGCATTTCTCGAGTACAAACCCTGAAAAACAAAAAACCCAAAATAGGCTTGTGTTGGTTTTTAATCATTTGTTTAAAATCCATTATCACCTATTTCCTTTCCCTCCTTTTCCTTTACTCTGTCCTTAATTCCTCTCATCATAAGCATGTTCTTTCGACAAAAGCATATATCAATATTCTTTTCAGTAAGGCTACCACATGGTGTTACCGAAATCCCTAATAGTGAATGCCACTGCATGTCAAGCAATTTGATTATTCTGATTAGTCCCTTCAATGTCTCATCAAACATGAAAAATTACCTTTTAAGTCTCATTACTTGCCAAAAGTTACCTGATCAAAATAGAAGAAAAAAAATATTCAAGTAATTCAAATCAGAACTGCTTTGCCATTCTCTGCATGCATTACATGATGCATAATATTCTGTGTGCAGTAAACTACATTTGTATGAACACTGCCTACATATTTCTGGAAACAATACAATGAATGTAAATTTACACCACTTTATTACAATTTACAAAGTATCATTTATATGGTTTGTTTTTCAACTAATCTAGATCTAAGCAGATGTACACGAGTGCACTGTTTTATGGCCACCACAAATTTGATAGTGCTTTTTTTATTTTCAAAATTGTTTTATAGGGCTCTTGATCTAATTACTTTACACATGATATTACAACATGAAGAAGAAAATACAAAATTCTACATTGTAATTTTGGGATGGCCTGCAAAAACAGTGATTTGTTGCCAATAATGGAATACAAAGATAGTTTTAGTGTAGTAATCAAAAATAAATAATACCGAGTTGCTCATTTCCTACATATTGGTTTCCACTCAAAGATTTTCGAAAACCTATCAATATACACACAACCCTGTACATAACCATACATCTTGATGTTCAAGTGAACCAATCACCAGAAAATATTTTGTTTTAGTCTATTTTGTTCTGTATGTTAGGGGTTACATGTCATGATTATAATCAAAATACAGTATGAGCTTCAAATATAGAATCTACAAGAGATATTGCAAGTTAAAATGGACTCTCAATGAACACCAAGGCGACTGGTGATTAGACTAGTTGACACACCCGTACATGCTTGCAATAGAATAGGGTGTGTCAGATTTTTATGTTATCCTTTCTTTTCTTCATACCTCTTAACCCAGATAATGCTTATTTTTTTTAATTTTATAGTAAGTCGATTCTAGCTGTATACAAAATTTAATTTTAGGTGATTAGTACATTGTAATGTTTGTAAGGTACATTAATAATGAAAGAATTGCACAACAGGTGTAACAAAAATGTATATTCATGCAACACATGATCAAGAAGAAGAACAGCGGGTACCTCAGCTTTTTTAGACAAAATAATATTTTTATTTCTTAATACACAGGTACTTCACACCGTTAAAAAAATGTTCTCAGACTCCTTTTCGAGATGTGTCAATATTGACAATGAAAGCAAAATGCTGTCATTACAATACTTCCCCACATATTTGTGTGAATATAGTACTCATTTTGCATTTCGATGAAAAATTAAAATCTTGCTTTCCAAATCCTAAAGAGCTCATTTCATATTTTTCAATTCATTTCAATTTTTGCTACACTTTCTTTGTTTAGTACAGATTAGGGTTATATTTTATTGATTGGCATAATCATTGCAGGGTCTGGGGATACACTTATTATTGTAAGGCAATGTTAAACATATATTTTTTGCCCACAGAAATCCAAAAGAATTTGACTTATTTTGTGTTTCAACTTGAAAACAGACATCCTACTAAATTTTCACAGCTTCAACCAATACAGTTAAGGTAAAATTGTGTTCTACTCACAAGATGAATGCATTATTTGTTGGGAAGTGGGAAGAGTAGGGAACCTTGATAATGGGTTAAATTCCACCAAGATATCCCATGTGGAATTGCCCTTTGCTATTCGACAATGTTTGAGTATACCAGTGGAGCAACACAAGTCAACTGTACTCTACATAATGATATGGTTCCATATTGAGTAGACTACTAATTTATTCAGGAAATGGAAAATACTGGAAAATATGCTACTCGAACTCCCAGTACATGAACTTGAGATGTTGTTTCCAACAACAAAGGACCAAACACCTTGGACTTGGCAATATCAGAGCCAGAGATTGATAATTGCAGGTATCTACTACAGAAATCAATCTAACCTGGGCTATTAACATATGAAAGAGAATTCTCACTGACTATCACCACTGCAAGAAAAATTATTTTTTCCATTTTTACGCCATGATAAATCCATATTTGCCCCCCCCCCCCCCCCCCCCGTCCATCCCCTCCATTTCCTCTACACAAGTATTCTTTCTGGAGCTCATTATTTTGATGTTCTTCCCTGTGCTCTACTATTATACAAGGTATCTATTAACATGAGTCTAGCCTATAAGGACAAGTAAAATCAATTCCCACTTTTTCATCTGGATTTTTTGGAAAATGAGGAGAACAAGCTCAGGTTCTATTTTGTTATTTTGTTTGTTCTTTTTCCTTCATGAACATGATATGGGGTCAATTCTCACACAAGCTGCGTTAATAAAAATATAACTACACTCGCGTACGTCTCTTTGTCCACCCCCACAAGTTTTGTATCTTTATCACCTACTCTCTTTTTCTCTCTCTCTCTCTCTTTCTCTCTTTTTCTCTCTCTCGCTCTATTTCTCTGTCTGATATATCTTCCTTAAACCGGTGTCAGACTGTCATTAAGTTTCACCTGAATATCCTCAACAATTTACACTTCATTGGAGTGAAACCTTTAAAAAAGTTTTATTTTATTAATGTACACATTGGATATTTGGATATTTTAAACCTGCCAAAATAGCTTATTCACACGTCAACTCCCAGTGGCGGATCCAGGATTTGCCGATAGGGGGGGGGGTAGCCTAAAATTTGAAATCGCGCGGACCAAAATTTCGCTCAGCCGGCCGTTGAATAAGCAGGGGGGGGGGGGAGTAAGAGCACATTTTAAAAATAAAATTCGCAACGTCTCAGCCGGCCGCTGAATAAGCAGGGGGAGGGGGGGGGGGGGTAGTGACCATAATTTTTTTTCTTCATTTTTGCTCCTGGGAATTCGAAACTTTTTTTTTTTTTACAATTTAAAAAAAAAAAAGTCAGGGGGGGGGCTGGGCCCGTCGGACCCCGTGGATCTGCGCCTGTCAACTTCTGCTTATCTTAACATTTCATCTGCAGACATAGAATGAAGTGGAACATCAGAATAGGCCCATATGGGTCGGACACAGGACAAAATCAGAGATTGTTTTCATTGTTTTCATTCAAAAGAATTTCATTTTATAAAAATACAGTTAAAGCGAGAAAGCAGAAAAACATATATACATATATATATACAATTAAACAAACACTAGATTGATTCATTAGATGTAATTATATAATTCGAAATGCATAGACTGCTTCACTTTGTAAACATAAGTTCTCAGTCAAATATATACATTTAATCATATTATGAGCATAATATTAAACATTACAGATAATAATAACACGCATTCAAAGTTCTACACATTCATTATCTTTTACAGTCCGAAACATGTAGATTCCAGTAAGTTATGTCGAAAGTTTCGATATCTCCTTAACAAGAAAATAGTTGGGGATGTCCTTTTCGTAACAATGTGATACTTTCAGATCCTTCAGCAATGACTTGCATCAATTTGTAATGATGTATACATGTGTTTCAAATGAATGAAAAACACTTAATTTTATAGGCTTTATACACTCTCACTTCCTCGTCATGGGGATTTCCTTTTCATAACAATGTTATACTTTCAGATCCTTCAGCAATGACTTGCATCATTTTGTAATTATGTATACATGTGTTTCAAATGAATGAAAAACACTTAATTTTATAGGCTGTACCAATAAGATTGGAAGGGCGATTTACCCATACTCATTTTAACGAATTCAGGTTACAATTTTGCTTAGGATATTTATTTAATTAGATGGAAGGTGTCGTTATGAGGTTATATGCAATTGCATTTTTCCCATTTTTGTATTTCACAATTGCAAAAACTGTTTAGAAATTCATTTTCGGTCAATTTTAATATACAAAATAGCCACGTGCCGTCTCGATAATCTTCACTGTGGAGTACGTGCACAGTATGGGTGCTGGCTAAAATACATGCGCTACTGGGCCATGAAAGCCTTTAATATTATTGTACTATTGTCAATATAAAAAATAAAATAATCATCTTTAAAAAAAATTATTAAACCATTAAGTGATTATTTTCATATACGTTATCTGAATTACAGGTTTTTGCCATTCCGTTACCGCGTTTTGTAATCTTTATAACTTGTAAGATATTCCAGCTTTGAATGAATTAAATATTTTCCCGGACCCTTAGTGCATGGTTATTCAATCGTAATCAATCCCATTAGTTGAGTAATCTTAGATTGCTGATAGCATAATCAAATTAAAAAAATTAATAAACATTTTTTTTAAATGTTTTTTTTTCCCTTTGGAAACTTTCGTAGATTTCAGATGGGCGAAGATTTTTTTTTATTTGCCCAAGGTCGACTTCGTTAGAGTGAATCACGCTAGGCCTATTCGTCACGTTTTCGTCGCGCTTTCACCCCCCCCCCCCCCCGCCAAAAAGGGTGTTATTGGGCTGATACCTAGAAATAACGAAAATGGGAAGAGGACAAATGAGATAGAGAGAATAAAGCAGGAGAAAGATAGACTAAGCAACTCTCATTCTGGCAGGTATAAAATGGTTACGTTTACGGTTTACAGACAGACATTTCTCCAAACGTTTCCAAAAGTATTTCTGTCCCTCATCATCATCCTCCATCCATTCTACATATGGCCCTTGACCTCGCATATACCATCTCACACATCTTCCTCAATGTTCTCCAGGAACACCAGTACGATGTTCTCTGTCTGGGTATCGGCTACTTGATCCATTGCCATACGGAAACATGTCAGAAACCAGTCATCAGCGCAGGCAGCTTTACTCAGTAAAACAAGAATCTTAAAGCTTCTTGTCAAGACGTGATCTACGGCTTCCGTGCGATGCATGCCAATGGGAAGATCATCATCCGTGAAGACGTTTCTGCTTCGCTTGTAGTACGGCAATCCCTGAAAATATGGTTTCAGTTGGTCCTGAATCCAATTCTCATCATCCTCTGTCGATATGACGTAGATGTCAAAATCGTATTCCTCGCGATCGTTTTCGTCCAGGATTTCTCTGTAGCCCAAAATGGCGAGTCGGAGAAGGAAGAGTTTGTACCTCAGTTGCCATCTGAAGTGGTACGCGATGACGATGATGATAACGACAATTACAATAGAGAACCCTGTTGAAAAGTATACAGGGAAATTCGCCGTGCAGAGATCGTTTGGTTGGATGAATTCAAGTGCCTCTCCTCCAAAAGGTTTCGGTGATGAAGATGAGCATGTTGTTTCTTTACCATTCTGAACATCTATGGCTCCACGCAGCATCTTGATTAACCATTGCGATTTGCAGGAGCATTCGATGGGATTTTGTGACAGATCGACTGAAGATAGCGTGGTTGAAATTTGGGAAAATGTTGTCTGATTGAAAACGCTCAGCTGGTTTCTTGCAAGATCTATCGAAGTTATCATCTGCGTTTTAGCAAACAAAGCATTATCGATATAAAGCAATGCGTTATTTCTAATCATAAAGATACTCAAATGAATCAGGTTGTCGAAGATATGCAAGGGAAGTATTTGTAAGTTATTATTTTGAAGAGATAAAGTGTTCAGTGAGGTCATCGAAGCAAAGGCGCCAGATTCGACCGTGGAAATTTGGCAGTCACTCAAATCGAGAACTTGTAACGCCAAAAGGTTGTTAAAAATCCCAGACAGTAAACTGCCGATATTGTTTTGTTTCAGTCCGAGATACCTTAAATTGTCAAGTCCTTGAAACAGAGATATATTTTCAGATGAATCCCACAGTTCACTCAGTGTGACACGCGAGTTATTTAATTCGATTCTGTTAAGATAGGGCGTGGACTGAAATGTTTTACCTGGAATTAAGTTAGGTTGATATATCCACTTTTCGTAGGGACGTATGAAGGTGAAAACGAATGTTTCGAGAAGTGGAGCATATAAGGACATTTGTACAATACCGGTACGGGATACAATAAACGTTCGTAAGTTGTCAAGTCCTGATAGAGATGTATTTGGTATATACCATAAATTAATGTTTTGAGTCAGGTCCAAGAATGTAAGATTTGCTAGACCCTTGAAGGCAAATGGACTTAATTCCCTAAGATTGTTCTCTGACAAATCCAGTTCCCGAAGATCAATTTTCCAAGATGACCCTGAAGGATTGACTTGCTTTATCTCTGTGTCCATGGCTCTAAGGGTTAGAAGTTCCTTCATTCCATCAAAGAAAGCAGGCTCCAGAACTCCTATATGAAAGATCCGAAGTTTCATATTATAAACGGATGTTAGATTAGCAAAGATGGACGGGTAACAATTGAACTCGTTCATTATCAGCATTAGGTCGAAAATTCTTTTACCACGCAATGGATCAAAGAAGTCACGAGGGACAACGTTGAATGCTTCCAAAAGACCCAGTCTATCTATCTCAGATTGAGCGATACCCGTAAACAAATCCTTCCATACTGCTGGGTTCAGTGTTGTATACTGAAATATCAGACCACGAATGAAAAAATCAGCAACAACATCGGCATCAATTTTCCTGTAATTATTCCCACCTAGATAAAGCATCTCTGTCCTGCAATGGAAACTTAGAACATCAGCTGATATTTCTTGAAATTTGTTAGAAGAGAAGTCTAGCGAAGTCAGTGTTCTTTTGGGGCACTTCGAAATATTGATATACGTTAGTTCATTCCCCCTTAAATCAAGGCTCTGTAGCTGAGGTAAGAATCCGAGGGTCTCATTCGGGAAGTAGGATAAATTGCAATATTCAAGGGACAGACTCGACAACCGTTTGGACTCCTGAAAGATACCACTTCCGGGTAGGGTGAATATAGGGTTATGGTCTAGGGACAAGCTGGTCAGTTGGTCTACAGGAAAGAAAGTCGCTAAATCGATAAAGCCGATGTGATTGTAAGAAAGGTCTAACTTCTCCAAGAGAGAGTACCTGAGGAATGACGTATTCCAGAGGCTTCGGATGATGTTTGACGACAGATCAAGCGAGCGGAGATCATTGATAAGGTTACTGGGTACGTCTTTCAGCTGCTTATCTGAGCAATCAGCCATTTTCTCCGGGATATCCACGTTACACGCAAAGCTCTTACGAATACCGCTGAAATGACCTGCTATGGTTCTAATTCCGTGTTCATTATGTGGCCGGATCTCCTGGCTCGGGGACACCATGATATGTGAACATAACATGAGGATGGATAATTGGAAAATTGTCTCGCACGTCATGATGTACTACTTTTCTCAACAGAATCGGTTTGGGCTGTAGTAATAGTATGTGCCTTGTGCCTTCTTCTTTAGCGATTATCAAGTACGTCCGTCAAAAGTACTTATATATTATATAATCCTTTGGCTACGTAGAAAGACATCAGCTCCTAAGGTTGTACCGCGTGCAGACACTCACAAGATATGCTGAGATAATGACAGCGCCAGCGATTAATTGTTCGAATGGAACCCAGGCCAATATCACAATATCATAAAGCACAAGTAAACCCGGAAATATGAGTTGATAAAGGTCGTATTATAAACCTGTAGCTCTTGGAAAACTGTAGATGGAATGCTCCCCCCCCCCTATAAACAGTTAGGCACACGTTGGCTCTAAGTATGTAATACTATGTATTTTGCGACGAATATCACATGGTGGCGGTATTTTGTTTCATGATGATACCTAGTTGACTCAGAGATATGTCCCTTCTGATTAGTCAATCATTCCAAGGAGCTCCAATTATTTCCCTCCCATAGAGATTGTACGTGTGAGCCTATGATTTAATCTTGACTGTATTCGCGTACGACTCTTTGTCCCTCCCACAAGTTTTCTATCTTTATAACCTACTCTCTATCTCTCTCTCTCTCTCCCTCTCGCTCTCTCTCTCTCTCTCTCTCTCTCTCTCGCTCTGTTTCTCTATCTGATATATCTTCCTTAAACCGGTTTCAGAAAGTCATGACGTTTTACCTAAATACCCTCAACAATTTACGCTTCATCCTAGTGAAACCTTTGTAAAATAGAGTTTAAGTTTTATTCCATTAATGTACACGTTGGATATTTGGATATCTTAAAACCTGTGTCGATATTAAACCTGCCCAAATTTATTATTCACACGTCAACTCCTGCTTATCGTAACATTTCATCTGCAGACATAGAATAAAGTGCAACACCAGAATAGGCCCATAAGGGTCGGATAAAGGATACAATCAGATTGTTTTCATTGTTATCAGCATTTTCATTCTTTCGTTCAAAAGAATTACATTTTACAAAAATACAGTTAAAGCAAGAAAGCAAAAAAAAACAAAAAACAATTAAATAAACACTAGATTGATTCATTAGATGTAATTATATAATTCGAAATGCATAGACTGTTTCACTTTGTAAATAATAGGTTCTCAGTTAAATATATACATTAAATCATATTATGAGCATAATATTAAACATTACAGATAATAATAACACGCATTCAAAGTTCTACACATTCATTGTCTTTTACAGTCCGAAACATGTAGATTCCAGTGAGTTATATCGAAAGTTTCGATATATCCTTAACAAGAAACTAGTTAGAAAAACAAGGTGGCAAATGGTTTACATACAAACTCTCACTTCTTTGTCATGGGGATGTCCTTATCATAACAATTTGATACTTTCAGATCCTTCAGCAATGACTTGCACCAATTTGTAATTATGTATACATGTGTTTCAAATGAATGAAAAACACTTAATTTTATAGGCTGTACCAATAAGATTGGAAGGGCGATTTACCCATACTCATTTTAACGAATTCAGGTTACAATTTTGCTTAGGATATGTATTTAATTAGATGGAAGGTGTCATTATGAGGTTATATGCAATTGCATTTTGACCATTTTTGTATTTCACAATTGCAAAAACTGTTTAGAAATTCATTTTCGGTCAATTTTAATATACAATGTACAAAATAGCCACGTGCCGTCTCGATAATCTTCACTGTGGAGTACATACACAGTATGGGTGCTGGCTAAAATACATGCGCTCCTGGGCCATGAAAGCCTTTAATATTATTGTACTAGCAGGACCCGCGGAAATCCGCGGGATCCTAGAGGGGGGGGGGGGGGGGGGGGGGGGGCGGGGGTTGTAAATAGATATATAGAGACTGTCTAAATTAAAACCACCAAGAACTTTATTTGCCATTCAGGCCATTAAGAAATATACATGTTAAGCGTCCCCGTCCGCTTCCTTTTTGGGGGCCGCCTCCTAATTTTTTTTTTGAAATTTTTTGAAAAGTTTTTTTTTTTTTTTTTTTTGAAAGAAAAAAAAACAGCGTCCCCGCCTGCTTCCTTTTTGGGGGCCGCCTCCTATTTTTTTTTTTTTTTTTTTCATTTATTTATTTTTTTTTTGAAAGAAAAAAAACATGAAAAGCACTGCTAAAATGTATTTCTGATTTTAAAAAAGAAAAGAAAAAAATTGTCGGCCGCCATCTTGAAAAATAGCCTGAATGTCAGGAAAAATGTACGGAGCGGCCGTTTTGAAAGAAAATAAAAAGAAAAAAAAAGGGCCTCCTCCTTCTCATTTTTCGAAAAAACAGGAAGCTAAACATGTTTTTTTTTTAATTTGGCCTTATATAAAAATTAAAAAAACGATCCAACTGTACCGGTAGTTATTCTTTAAGCCACTGGAACTGCGTAGAGTTCCGTAGTGTGGCGTACCGACTACGCAGAAATTAGGCTGCGTATTAATGGGGAAATAGTCCCTGCGTAGGTTATGCGTAGGCTGGCGAAAAAAATTAAACAGGTTGAATTGTTTTCGTTCATCTTGCGTACCCCTTTCCGTCCCTCAGCATATAGTAACGTAGGCCAGCGTAGTTGTTACGCAATACTACGCAACTCTACGTATTGACCCCACGCCAATTAGTGACCCGCAAGTGTCACAAATAAAGTATTAAAAATATGCTCATCTGACCCTATACGCCTAAAACCCCCGAGCTTTCGGGGGTTTATGGCCCCTTGAAACCCGTGGACCCTACGCCTATATTATATATACACTCAACTCGCTGCGATCTGATCTCTCCCCCCCCCCCCCCCCAACTTTGAAAAACGTAACCCCCAAGCTTTTGGGGGTTTATGGCCCCTTGAAACCCGTGGACCCCACGCCTATATTATATATACACTCAACTCAGGACCCGCGGAAATCCGCGGGATTCTAGAGGGGGTGCGCAGGCAAAAAATTAAGTTTTTCATTTCAGGGGCTCCATTTCAAATTTTAGGGAAATTTTCTGGGGCTCTTTTTTCTGGGGCTACTTTTTCATTAATTCATATAAGGATAGGCCTACACTTTGTTGAGATTTGTTTAGTAGGCTATTAGGTTTCAGGCTTCCTGCTTCATAATTGCCTATTTAAAAAAAAAAAACATTTTTCTAGTTCAATAACTAAGTTTTCATGCATTGATTTGATGCAAGAACTGTAACATAATAGACCCTAGATTGTGATTATTTCTGACCATGAATTTCGATAATCATTTTTCAAAGTAAAATTTTCACAGGAA